GTTGGCTCCCTGAAGTGCCAGGCTCTCTCTCTCTCTCTTTCTTTCTCTCTCTCTCTTTCTTCCCATCCACAAACACACACACACATACACACACACCCTGGGGAGCCTGATTCTACAGGCTCGCATTTAAGGAGAAGAAACCCCCTCTTTGTGTCTAGAATTCAACATTTAAATGACCCCAAGTTGTGCCCAACTGGTGCCTCTGAGACTATAGGCAGAGAAAACCAGCGAGTGGGCTGGCGTGAGGGGTAGTTTGAGGAGGGGTCAGCCTCTCTCACCATCCCCACCCCTCCGGTGGGCACCTTTGTTCTCAGTCCCGGTTTGCGGCTGTGTCCTCCGGGTAGAGGTTTCGTGGCTGTTTGGATTCTTGCTTCAGAGAGAGCCGCTGTGGACCCGATAGGCAGCATGTGCGGGGACCCTCCACATCGGGCAGTCTGAGTCAAGGTTATGGGTTTTTGGTCTGGCTTATAGGGGGGGAGTGTGTGTGTATCTGAGAGAGAGAGAGAGAGAGAGAGAGAGAGAGAGAGAGAGAGAGAGAGAATGAGAGAATGAGAGACAAAGAACAGGAGCCAGCAAGGAAAACAAATGGGTATGAAGCGAATCCTCTCCAGGCAAGGTTATACCAACTTTGGGGCCCTTAGAAGGTATAATCTCAGAAGCAAAGAGGCCAGGAGTTTCTCCAAGGCTGGGGTCTATGCTGGCTTGCCTAAATCAGCCAGGTTCTAGGTAGGCCTCAGGAAGGATTAACCCCGACCTGCAAGCCATTTTGCCTTCAAGCAAAGAAAGGCAGCTCCGGACATTCTTTCCCCCACTACCCGGCCCGTCCCGCCCCACCATCCCGCCGCCGGTCGCCACCTATCCCCACCCCCACCCCTCAATTCCCCCTGGCTGGGGCCCCAGACCTCCTCTCTCCTCTCCTTCCCAAAGATCTACCTCATCCTCTGCTATGACCAAAACTTTTAAGTTAAAAAAAAAAAAGAAAGGGAGGGGGAATCTTGTAAAACTTTTATGCCAAACAAAGTTATAAAAACTTCCCGGGTGTTACCTTTTGCAGAGGTTTATATGAATAATAAAGAGCGCAGTCGCGTGCGTGCTCAAGGTTCTGGCGGGCTAGGAGGGGAGGGTGAGCAAATGGCAGGAGCCAGCCCTGGGGGCACCAGGAAACCTCAGGGGCTGCCCCCTTCAGCGAACATTCCCCCTCCGATTCCAGAGAGGGGCGTGGAGAGGGAAGGGGTGGTGCCCTTGACTCCCTTGAAGTTCAAAGTTTCCCTTTACCCTGGTAGGAAAAGCCTTCTGTGCCCCAAGTCCACTCAGGAAATCCAGTGCAGGTAGGATCACCCACAGCAGTGGAGGTCTGGCTCCACTTCGCCCCAATTCTGTCTTTCAGAAAATGGGTCTATCCTTCCCCCAACTCCAACCCCACTGTGCCCAAAACCAGAACCACCCCCTACCCTTTCCTGGGAACATCTGGAACCCATGGGCTCTCTAGCAAGGGGCTGCAAGTTTCCTCCAGGACTCCTCTGCATGCACAATGCCCGGCAACCTCAAGGTCTGAGTGACAAAGAAACCCCAAATTCAAGGCCACCCCAACCCATTTCTCACTCTAAATGCCCTTGGTATCCCCCCTGCACCCCCAAAACTCATACTTGGAGGGGGAGGGGCGCGGGGTACTCTTTCAGCCCACACCACTTAATACGCTTGTAAACTCCCACGTGCGCTATAAACTTGGATTTTTACAACCAACATTCCTCCTTAGCTCTGGGAAACTTTGAACTCGGCCTAGGGTTTATTTACTGGGGAGGGGGAGGCAGGGGCTGGGGAGCTGGGAACTGAGAGAGACTGGAGGAAAAGAGGGAAATATGGGGTAAGCGGGTGATGGGGTAGGGGCCTGGATGGGGGGTGTGGGGAGAGGTAAGACCATGCACTGGGTGGTGTGGGGGGGAGAAGGTTTGTTTACTATTTAGGGCGGAAGCGTTGTCTAACACAGGCCAGACTGGGTCGTTAAGGACGAAATGAAACTGGGTTTAGAGGCGCGGAGGGCCCTTTATGGCGGCGTCTAGACGAGAATCTTTTGTTCCCCGGGAAGCTCTGTGGCTGGAGGGGATTACCCTAAGAGGCAGAGTGCCCCTGAGTGGCAAGAGGGGGGGAGGTTGAACATCCCCAGAGTCCAAGGGTGGGTTGGTTTGTGGGGTAGTCAGAGACCCTTCCTTCTCCCTTCCCTTTCTGGAAAGCCACCAGAGACGGACTGGCAGCTCTCAGGGCCTGGGTCACAAGCTTTGTTTTTCCTCTCTTCCCGGCCTCTGCTTAAGCCAAGGATTTTTGTCAGAGCTGCACGTTGCATGTTAAGGGAGAATTCCCAGTTGGACATATTTGTTTCCTAAATCAGGAGCTAGGTGCAGGCTGTTTTTTTTTTTTTTTTTTTTTTGCTTTATAAACGGGTTCATCCTCTGTTGAGTTCTTGCCATTCTATTTCATAAGATGCGCTGCTGGTAGGTTAATAAGTCCTTCGGTGGATGGGCGCTCACCCTCACACCTCTTGTCACACGCAGGGGGCCCTCCTTCGGTATCCTAGCACTCCTGCCACCCTCCTAAACACTGCCAGGGCTGGCATACTGTGGTGGCACCGAGGGAGTGGGGGTAGGCAGGCACTCTTTGCATGCACGGGGCAGGCCGAATTTACTCCGGGATGCAAATAACAGTGCCGCTATGTAGGCACAGCAACAGATAAAACAGGGAGGGGGCGTATACAGGAGGGCATTGTGGGCCTCGCACACGCGCGTGTGTGTGCACACACACACACACCTCTGGCAGATCCTGCCTGAAGACCCTCCCTGACAGCCTCAGAGCTCTGCCTGCAGAGGCGACAACAGGCGCTAAGGAAAACAGTCTTGCAGCTCACACAATTGTACTGACAAATATCAGGTTGGAGAGCACAGAGAGGAGGAAGAGGAGAAAAGTGCTGGACAGACTGTCTTTCTGAATCATGAGCCTGAAACAGCGATGAGACAGAGAGCCTCTAGGGGAAGTGCTGCAAGGACCCCCTGGCCAACTTCACCGGAAGACAGGGGCAGTGAACACAAATGGGTGTGGCTGCAGCTGTCCCCTCTGGCCACCTCCTTCTTCAATGCTCCACCCCAAGCCCACCCCTACCCAACAAATTTCTGGGACTCTCTGAGAGGAAGATCCCCAAGGCATAAACACCACATAAACTTCAGGGCAGCCCAGTCTGGGTATCCTGTTGTTGTCTCTGAAGGAGTCTGACCATTTGTGCCCAAAGGGGAAGGGGCCCAGACCCTGCCTTTCCATCCTGGGGTTGGGGTGGGGTAGAGGCTGAGAAGAGGAATGGAAGGGGATCTCTTTCTTCCTCCTCTCCCCTTCTTCTTTCAAAACTGTATATAAAAATTCCAATATAATTTCTCATAGAGGAAAAAAGTAATTGGCAAAAGCCTTAACCCCTCCACCCTACAGATTTAACTATGACAGACCAAGACATCTGGCAGGAGGGTGGTGGAGCCAAGAAAATTCCTATAAATTTAAATTTGATGATGGTTACAATTAACTGCACAACAAACGGTGTACTTAGACAGAAAGTGTGGCTGGGTATTTCCACACAGCCGGCCTGAGCCTCCTGCATGTGAGAAACAAGAGCTTGGGAGAGAGGTGGGGAGAGGTTGCCCACCGGAGAGTAGGATGCCCAGCCTGATCGACCCAGGAGAGAGCTATTCCAGACCGGCTGGCCCTGGCGCCGGGTGGCTGGGCTCTGCTGCAGGCTTCCTCCACCATCTTGCAAATGTGGAGGTGTTTTATTATTATTATTTTTTAAGGAATGAAGTTCATAAAAGGGTCCAATAAAATCATAATATTGAACAGACTGCAAGATCTTTATTTGCCACCAAAAAAAAAAAAAAAAATCACAACACTCCCTCTCCTAGACGAAGGCAGGGTAGGGGACTGCAGTACACTCCCTGGGGCTCGGGTGCCTGGAGAGCCAGGCAGGCAGCGGATTCCAATGTCGTGCGGGTCCTCCTACCGCACCTTCTCTGGCTTGCGAAACGTATTTACAAAATTGACAAGAAAAATCGAGGTTTCCCTCCAGCCCTGCGATAATGAGGCTCGCCCTAAGTTCTCTCTTCTCTCTCCAGCTTCCCCATCCCAGTAACAACGGCATAGAGTAAGCTAGAAATCAAAGTAGGTACTGCTCCGAAAGGTTTGGAAACCTCAATGCACTAGTGAAGACATTTCGAAAAATATCTCTCTCTCTCTCTCTCTCTCTCTCTCTCTCTCTCTCTCTCTCCCCCCACGGGCATAGGGAGAAAAAAACTGGGCTGTTGGGATGGACAGGGCGCACACGAGGAGGTAGGACACGGACTTCGGACTTCGCACACCTAACACCGGGGCGGAGGTAACCACAAATTCACAGCAAGGCAGGCTCACATTTAGCTGCCCCCCTAGCAGTGGGGCCAGGTGCGGAAGGGGCGGGGAACCCGGCGGCCGCAGACAAGGTGTGGCAGCGGCCGGAGGGGTAGGGGCGACGGGGGCTTTTTTAGTTCCAGGATTGTGGGGCTCCGTCGCCCACGACCCCCGCCCCTTACCCCGCCCACACCCGCACCGGGCGAGTAGCAAGAAGTCGTTGGCGAGGTGCGTTTTTTTTTTTTTTCCATTTAAATTAAAGTCTCGGCCTCCTCGGCGGCGACGCCAACGGTGTCCACGGTAGGGAAGGAAGGGGGTCTGCCGTGGGTCGGGTGTTTTCCCCTCACCCTTTTTCAGGCCGGACTCCCATCCCAAAAGCGAGAATCCGGCGAAGGCGAAGGCGGCTCCGCTTGGAAGCGCCGACAAAAGGGCAGTGGGGGCCAGCCCGGACTCCAACGTCCGATATTCCATCCCTCGCGGAAAGAAGACGAATTAGCAAATAAAAAATAAAAATAAAATAAAATAATCTCCTCTTGTGGCCCCTTTCCCACCCCCACCTCCCCGTCCCGGGCAGAGGGCCGGATCTGCGGTTACAGCAGCGGATTTCCCGAAAAATACTGCAGCCGGTCCCTGCTCAGTTTTTTTTCTTTCATCCTTCTGTTCTGAAACCAAATTTTCACTTGTCGGTCCGTCAGGTTCAGCATCCGCGACAGCTGCAGCCGCTTCTCTTTGTTGATATATACGTTGAAGAAAAACTCCCGCTCCAGTTCCCGGATCTGGAATTTCGAATAAGGGCAGCGCTTCTTGCGGGTGCGGGGGGCGTCTGGAGGGGAGGGGAGGGGGCAAGTTGCGAGGAGGGGGAGGGAGGAGAGAGACACGTGAGACCCGGGCGACCCAGGCCCCGTGGAGCGTTCAGCTGCCCTGCTCCCTTAGCCCCTGCCGCTGGGCCGCCGCCACCAGGCTGCCCTCCCGCCGGGCCTGGGGCGCCCCAAGCGCGCGCGCGCGTGCGTGTGCACACCTTCCCACACACACACCACACACACACACACCACACAAGCACTGCAGGACCGGGGCGTGGGCGCTGGGGTGGCCTCGACCCCCCTGCAGCGTGCGTGCCGGCCGGGCCCAGTGAGTGACCCCCGAGACACACACACACACACACACACACACACACACACACACACACACACACACGCCCTTTTCCAGCTCTTAGGCGACGGCCTGAGTGGCGAGGTCTGGGGCAAGAGGGCGGCCCCGCCACAGCACTGTGCGTTCCTCTCCCTTTGTGCCCCCTGCCTGCCGGCCCGCTTCCCGCCTCCCTCCCCGGCTTCCCGCAGAAATCAGAGAGAAGCTGGCGGAACAGGCGCAAGGAAGCAAGAGCTTGGCGAGAGCGGCGTGGGAAATCGGCCGGGAGGAAGCCAGGGACGCACCGGGCCCGGGCCGCTCCGGCGCCGGTTCAGGGGCTGGGCTGGGCTGGGCTGGGGCCCTGGGCCACCCGGGCCGACTGGCGAGAGGCCTCGCTGCCCAGGCTTCCTGGCCGCGGAGCGCCCAGAACCCCTGAGGCCCACCCGCAGCACCCCAGCCTGCAGCGCATCCCCAGACTAACGTCCCCAGTTCCCCCAGGCCCAACCGACTCCCGGATCGCTCGGGCGTCGGCGCCCTAGGCCGGCTCCGGGGCCAACTAGTAATTTGAACATTTAAAGAAAGAAAGAAAAGTAAAGAATAGTTGGAAAACCAGCGGAGCGACCTGGGCCGCCTCTCTCGGGTCTCAGGATCTGCTCCGCTGCCTCCCCGCCACCCTCCCCCCCCCACCTCTCTCCCTCCTGGGCTCCTCCGGGCCTCTTCCTCGCCCTCCCCTTTCTCTTCCCCTCCACCCCTCCCCTCCCTCCCTCCCACCGTGGTCCCCCCTCCCCGCAGTCAGCCTGGTTCCTCATCCTTCCTCAAATGCTCCTCCTAAGTTCACGATCAAAGTTAATATCGCCTGCAATGGTGGCGCTTTTAAAAAATTTCACAGACCAAGTGAGATAACGGGGGAGAATGAGAGAGGGAGGGTTCACCCGGCTTTTCCAAAGCGCCCTTGTCCCTCCCTCCCCACCCCTGCTCCATCGTAAAAAGTCGAGTCGTTGGAAGAGAGAGGGCTTTGTAGGTTATAATAAAAATCATTTGAATGCTTATAAAACTCCACATAAAACCGGACTGACCCAAAACACGAGGCCGGCCCCGCTCGCCAGGCCTCCCCTTGCCCGTGCGCCCTCCCTCGCGCGCCCTCCCCTCGCTGCCCTCCAGGTTCCCGGCCGCGGCTACCTACTGGGGGCGGCTCCCTTGGTCGAGGTCTCCTTGGCCTCCGAGTGGGCCGACCCGGACGAGCTGGGGTTGGTGTTGTCCTCCTCGGCCTCGGCCTCCGCATGCGCCCGGGACGCCAGTCCCGAGGCCGCCGGGGGCGCTTCGGGTTCCCCCTTGGCCTCACCCTTGCCCGGGCAGGGGGGCTCGGCGGGCGCGTCGCCTCCACCGCCGCCGCCACCGCCACCTCCGCCGCCGCAGTAGGCGTTGTCGAAGAAACGGTCGAAGGCTTGGGGCAGGACGCTGTTCTTGTTGACGGACGAGTAGAAGCCGGCGGGGGCTGCGTGTGGGGCGCTGGGGTGGTGGTGGCCGCCGTAGGAGCCTTCGTTTTTCATGAGGATCTCGGTGACGGTGGACGGAGGCAGGCACTCGCGGTGCATAAGCTCGTCGGCCGCCGCATAGCAGGAGGAGTAGCTATTCCGGGGGTGCCACTTGCCGGACGGCTCCAGGCCATAGGAGACCTCCCGCACCGGGGGCACTTGGGCCGAATAGGGATAGGAGATCTGGCGCGAAGGGGCCTGGGGCAGGAAGGAGGAGACGGTGGAAAACTCGGGCATGTAGTAAGTGCAACTGGGCAGATAGAGGTTGGAGGCGCAGCTCCCTCGCTCGCCGAAATCCGCGCCCCTCTCCTTGCGCGACGGCGAGCAGAAGTTGCCCAGGTTGACCGAGTTAAACATCGTTCTCCTCTCCCGCCGGCTCTGGTGGTTGGAGCTTTTGGACCCAGTCGAAGCGAGGGGGGTAAAATTTGGGAAGGCGAGATGACGCGCGTTATCCGTCTTAGTCTCTCTCTCTCCGAGCACGTGATCCAAAGTAGATATTGTCATATATCAGTTCGGAGCACTTCGCAGACGTAGGAGGGGTTCTCTCTTAGGTAAGATGGGGGACGTTCAGGCGATTGGTTTGCAAACACCGCAGAAACATTATGAAAATCAATTGCAGATTTGTATTCGTTTTTCTCTGGTCACTCCCCTTCTCTCCGTTCCACGGAGCCAGCGAGCAGAGGAGGGGAGACAGGGCTTAGGGTGGAATGGGCGGTGGGATGGGCGGGGGCGGTGGCTGGGAGGGGGTAAGTGTATTTTTTTTTTCTTCCTTAGCTGCCAGCCTACCCCCCTCCCACTAGGGTTGGGGAAGGAAGAAGGAAGGGTGTCTAGCCTCCTCCCTGGGATCTGGGTGGGTGGGAGGACTTCTTTTCTCCACCCTACCCCCTAAAGTCTTACCCCAGCACGCAGCCCACAGAGTCCACCGGCTGTTCACCAGAGTTTGAGGAAGTCCATTTTCCTGGTCTCCCTGACCAGAGCTGGATGCCAAGGCTTCTTTCCTGGAATCTTTGGAGAGACTCCCCGGAAGAGTCTCCGAAGTTTCCCAAAGGTGAGGCAGCCCAGCTGCAAGCCAATGTCCCAACTTGGGCTGGCTGGCTGCGCTGTGCCGCCGGCTAGGGACTCGCATTAGTCATAAACGAGTACTGAGCAGCGCGCCAGCCGCCCAGCCGGTGCCTGGTGAAGTCTGGGAAAAACCTTCTCTAATGTTGTGTTAAATATTTAGTACGAGAGAGTGGCCCTGGGTGAATATTTCATGCCTGCCTTTATTGTCAATCAATGCGCAGAAAGCTACATCCCACTGTGGGTTTCTAAATCCCAAACCCCAAAGAAAAAGATTGAAAATAACCAGAATCACGTATGTTTCAGGTTGGGGCCCTTTGGGTGGGGGTTCAGCCTTGGCTGTTGGGTGGCAGAAGAGGCTGTGATCTTTGGTTGTCTGGGCCCAGGGAGGAGATAATGGGGGGCACCTATCCGTGAATGATCTAGGGGTCTCGGAGGTGGGTGGTAGAGCCAGGTTTGGTTATCCCTGCACAAATCAGCATGGTATCCAGTCCAGCATGGCGGGGGGGGGGGGCCAAGGGCCACTTCATCGTGGAAGCCCCCACCCTATCTCCCTGAGACTGCAGCCAGACCTGGCCGCCTCCTTCCAATTCTTCAGTTGTGCCCCCGCCTTGTTCTCCTCTGGGTTTGTCTGCCCTCCCTCCAGACGGCCCAAGGGGGGTGATTCTGTGGTGCTGCAGTCCTCTGCCCGTCAGCCCTGCTGGGCACCACCGGACACCTCTGGACAGCGGAAAAATCACTTTATGGACAGGTTCAGGGCTGGGCACGAGCAGCCAGAACAACCAGCTGGAGCAGAAGGCACCTGGGTTTTGAGAAGGAGTCCCTAGAGCAAGATTTGTTCAGGAAGGAGGCAAAGAACCAAAGCCCCAGGACTCAGCCTGCTGGGCTCCCAGGGAAAACCAGCAAGAGCCGGGACCCTCCAAACACCCCAAACTCTGGGTAAAAATGGACTCCCACTTCTCAAAAAAAAAAAAAAAAAGAAAGAAAGAAAAGAAAGGAAGGAAGGAAGGACGAAAGAGAAAGAAAGAAAGAGAGAGAGAGAGAGAGAGAGAGAAAGAAAGAAAGAAAGAAAAAAGTTGTTTAGATTTGATTTTTTCTTGTCCAGGTATGGCAAAGCAGGCGAGGAAGGTAGTGAAATTTCCAAATACAAACGCCAAAAGCCCTTCCTCCCTCCATAGACAGGCCCTGCCTGGTCTTCTAGAAGCAACACCTGGGTGGTGAGCCTCAACTAGGGGGCCAAGGGGGGGGGGGATGGTTCTGCAGCCCTGGGGACAAGCACCCAGAACCCCTCAGGCCACTCCACCCCATGCGGGGGCGCTGCTTTTTACACTCTTCCTCGGCTGTGGTCAAAGGCTCAGCTGAAGTGTGAGACTTCGCTGCCGCAAAGGGGACACAAAAAGAAAAATCTGTTGTATTTCCTCTTTCCTCTCCTTTTTTATAGGGTGAGCTGGGGGCAGCATGTTTAATTATAATGGTAGGGAACTATGGACTGTGGCTTTTATGGGGTTCGTGCTGACCTCATTAAATTTGAGTTTATGGGAGGCAAAAGGCTCCCCAAACAGTGATGGGAACTAGTGTGTGCGGTACCCCTTTTGCTGGCTGCATAGGTGTGGGTAAGGACTCCGAATCTTAACTCCTGCTTTTCTGGTTCCCCAGCTCCTACCCCACCCCACCCCCAGCTTACTCCCTCTTCCAGCCTCCTGGGTAACACGGGGCTCAATTCCCCAAAGTGTATTCTCCTGTGGCTGGCTGTGGTGGTCAGCCGTGGCGGTGGTGACACAGCCAGGGCCGAGGAGGGTGGGCTGCTTCCTGTGAGGAGACAGCTGGGGTCTGAGCACTTGAATTTGACCACCAAAGTTTATTCCGGAGCCACCATAAAACTGAGCCGGGTGGCTGGCTGCTACGAGAAGCTGCTTTCAGAGGAGTTTTCCTTCTTTGAAACAAAAACCAAAAACAAACAAACAAACAAAAAGCAAGAAGGCTCGGCAAGGAGTTGCTCCCAACCAACCCTGGGGCCTCCCAATGGAAACCCTGGAAAAATCATATTTTTTTTCCCCTAAAAAGGGGAAGGTACGAAGTTTAAATTTTTTTTTTTAACTAGCATTGGACTTTTTTCAATTGCTTAAAAAAAAATCCCAGCAACTGGTGGCTGCTATTGCTGGGGTCATGGAGAACAGACCCTAGTTTGCTGAGGTCAGCTGAATATTGATGGGCAGGTGTAGCCACTCTCCCCAGCCCTGGTCCAGGCCACCCAGAAGTGCAGACAGGGCCCTTATCTCCCACTGCACCCTCAGTTTATGCTTTCTGCCCAGGGCTTGGGGTGTCTCACGGGAGGGGACCCTTTGTGACCCTGCAGCCCATCCCTTGGCAGGCCCTACACGTGGCTGCTGGTTTTTCCTTTCCCCTCACCTGGCGGTCTGGGGAGGAGAGAGGGGGGTGAGCATCACCACCTGTAATTCTCTTTGTTAGGGCCACCCTCCTTACTGGCTCTTGGTAGGTTCAATCAGTGGCAGCCCCCTCTCCTGGTCTGGCAGCCTCCCCTCTGTGTGCACAGCACTGGGACCCCTCCTGCTCCTCTCTGTTCCAGAAGGCAGATGGTGGTAGGGGAAGGGGCAAGTGCCCACACCAAGGGGAGAAAAGGGGCACCCAAGAAGAGCTCTGGTGGGCTTCAGTAATAAGTTCATCCCCTCGTGTGGAGTTGCGGAAGCGCCAGGTGAGCGGAGTCCCATGCATGGACGTCCTCAGATGTTCCCCAGGGTTGGGCAGGTAGGAGGAGCCCTTATTTAAAAAAATATATATACTGGCATCTTTTTACATGCATTTCTCTCCCTTAGCACAATATCAGGTGCTTTACTATGTTTTAGAATTTTCAGGTGTCCCATTTATCTTACACCTGGGACTCACCTGTTACCCCCTTATCCCAGCTAGGAAACTCAAGAGGAAGTGGTTCTGATGGCAGCTCCTGTCTTCCACTTCTTCTCAGACCCTCCTGCTGTCACTCCCAAGCCTGGAGTGAGGCCACCTAAGTGCTGGCTTCTACTAGGACACAGCCACAAGACGACTGTGGAGAGAGCAGAGCCCCCTATGCCCACCCCTGACGTCCCACCCAGCTTCCTCTGTGAAGGGACTGTCCCTGGAGGCCAGCAATGCAATGCGACCCCCATCTCCCCGCCCTCCCCCCCCCCTTAAAGGCTCATTTTACGAGCCAGTTTCACTCGCCTCCTCGCCAAATGCTCTAAAATGAAGGAAATGTCTTAAAAGCAGTCTGGAAATGGAGTCACTGCCACTGAACCCCCCCCCCCCGCTCCCTGTTTGCAAAACCAAGTGCAGCTGCACACACACACACACACACACACACACACACACACACACACACACACACACTTTTCGTGGGTTTGATTGCGCTGGTGGTCCCAGGCTCTCCCACTGCACCTCAGAGCTGGTGGCCGGATGGAGGGGGGCGGCTGGCCTGAGCTGCCATGCCTTGCCTTTAGCGCTCACTTCAGCTCTAGGACCCAGTCCTACTGATCAAAGTGAGCTGGCGGCATTTTTATGAGATCAACTTCAGTGGCTTGCTAGTTGTAATCAGAAGCCATCAATCCAAAAAAGCAAAGCAAAGGAGAGAAAGGAGAGAGGAGTTGAATGGGGTGACAAAATTCAGGTGACACCAAGCAAGAAGATTCCAGTCATGGGCAAGAGAAGACCCCTTGGCCCCCAGCCAGAGTGGATCTGCGGCCCTACCATCTTTGTGGCTACACGTTTCTGCACCCCCTCCCCCCGATTTCCGGGAGCCTGGTTCCCGGTGGGGCAGTCCCCATTGGTTTCTGCTTTCAAGTATTTTTTTGAACTAGAAGCTTCCATAGCACAGCCTGACCTATATGGCGTGAGGCTGGCTTGTTACCCGCTCCTCTCCCAGAGGACTGAAGACTCTCCTCCTGTTTCCCCAGCCCTCCTCTCTGAGGACCTGGGGCTTCTCTCAGTCACGACAGGCAGAAGCGGAGTTACAGGAAGATTCGCCAGAGATTTATCGTCTGGCCCCTAACTTGAGAGCCTCCTTGTCATAAACAGCCGTCTATTGTCTAGACTTTATCTCCGGGCATGGATCTGGATCGTGCATTAGTGAGGCTCCGGAGACACTCAGGGATGGCTCAGTGGGGTGCTGTGGCACTGCCGGTGCCTACCAACCCCCCACCGCCATCCCACTGCACGCTATCTCCCACCCCTTAATCAGGGTTCTTGGGTCAGTAGAGGAGCCAGCACAAAGGTGCATGTGTATGCTTGATGCTGGGCAGGAATAC